CCACAACTCCGCTCTCTGCACAGCAGCATGATGATGCTACTGCTACTTTTTACATGGTAATATTCGGATTTGGATTTGGTAAATACAGCGGGATACTCGTTCTTGGGTAAAAACTGGTGTCCCACTGGAAATGTTCCCCATAGAAATAAACAAGGTTTTCAAAGTCTTCCATCTCCTCTGCAGTCAAGTGACTACAACTGCACAACAGTGGTAGTTGCAGGGCAAAGTCAGATCATTCCTGCATGCTCAACCTCCCTCTGAGGATGTATAACCAGCTGATAAGAGTTCATTGTGAATCTGGCAAAGTTTTAGCAATTCTTGCCTCCTGCACATTCCTATTGGCCACAGAGGTGGTCCATCATAGTGAGAGGTTCCACCAAAGCTTCAACGCTTCCTGCACGTTAGAATGGACTGGCACTCCCTATAGTCCCTTTAAAAAGTACTTGTGCCAGATTTGAAATTTCTCTTAGTAATTGTATATATATTACTGTGTATATATGATACTGTGCCTATCCGGCAACACATCTCCTCTTTCTCCTTCCGGCCACCTGCACCCGCCCACACAGCCATGGTGAGACCCGCCACAGTACTGGGGAACCCCACCTGTGCAGCCCTGGTGAGACCCTGCATCTGCCCGCACAGCCCTGGCGAGACACACAGGGTATCTAGCATGATATTATTCTGCATTGCTGTACAATGTAATGTTGGGATTTGTAGTGCTCTATAGCTGGTGGTATTCTGCATTGCTGTATAATGTAGGGATGTGTAGTCCTCCTACAGCCTGGAGTCAGTGTCAGAACTATCAGGGCTGCAGCGGTTGCAGCTGGGACTGACCCCTGGCACTCCACCACTGTCCTAAAATCAATAGTCTGTGAGGGGGCGTGGTCTGAAGGTAGGGCAGTGATCTCGCTAGACACCCAAAAAGCCTTCGACAGTGTTGAGTGGCCTTATTTACTGAGTGTACTGGAAGAATATGGGTTTGGCTCCCGTTTAATTCGTTGGGTTGAGATTCTGTATAACGCCCCAGTGGCCAGACTGCGCATCAACAGAGAGGTATCCGACTCGTTTAGTATCTTTCGGGGTACCAGACAGGGTTGCCCTCTCTCCCCTATCCTTTTTGCCTTGGCAATTGAGCCCTTGGCGATTAGGATACGGAAGTCTGTGCATATACATGGCCTGAAGATACGTGATCTGGAGGAGCGCATCATGTTATGTTGACCCAATTGTTGTTTGTGATGGTGTTGTTGTTATCATTGTTGTGTCTCGGACAATTGCAAAAATCAATAAAAATTATCTTTAAAAAAAAAAAATCGTCTGTATTGTTTTAGAAAAACTGTCACATGACTTAAAACAAAGAAAAGGTATCTGTAGTTGGTATCGGAATACTTGAGGAAACGTTATTGGTACTCGTAATCGGTCTTTGAAATAATGGCATCGGTGCACCCCTAATATAGAGAGATATATCGATAGTAAAAAAAAAAAAAAAAAGCACGCACCAGGTTGGTCCCCTTGTTTTATAACTCACCCCAAAGGCGAAGACAAGTTCTAACATGGGCGGCAGCGGGAGGGCTGCAGTCATCATAAAGCGGACAATAGCTTGAACAATGACGATTAACTCCGCAGCGACCCCGTTTGGCTACAAGCAAAGAAAGAGGGGAGGCAAGAGCATAGAAATGTAAACGTAATGGCAATAAATACCCATTTACTTTTAAATATTATCACTATCCGGGATTCCTCATTTCCAAATGTTCGTGCTTTAAAATCCATTCAACAAGAACTGCATGCTCAGTGGGCAGAGCAAAGAGTAGTAACCCATAGCAACAAGATCCAATTTCAATGATCAGTGAAAGGTTAAAGGAAACTTGTGCTGTGTAAGTTGGTGCTGCACATCTCGCTTCTTAAATATTCCAGACAGGCATGCATGTAATATATGAGAAATGCACCAACAAAAAAAAGTATTCAGGTAAGGAGTGCTGACTTCAGATGTGGCAAGCTTGTTCCAGGTCAGCAACTCATAGCATTCAGAGACAGGTCATCAGCAATGGACCGGATTTTAAAAAGCAAAGAATTGCACCTTGTAGGGAACATCTAGTGTCTAATGCGTCTGAATAGTACCCGGAAAAATCTACCTTTTGTCTAAAGCTTCTCCTAAAAAATTGCAGTTCACTTCCTGTGCCAAGCACTCCTGTTCTGTAGCCTCATAGCTGTATATCTGCAGTGTGAGATTTAAGGTACTGCTCTCACCGACTGCTAGAGGGGAATTCATCAAAACTGGAGCAGACAAAATCTGGAGCACTTGCCCATAGTAACCAATCAGCTTCTCTCTTCAGTTTGTTCAGTTAAGATTTGAAAATGAAAGAGAAATGCTGATTGGTTGCCATTCACAGCGGTTCCAGATTTTGTCTGCTCGCGTTTTGATAAATTCCCCCCACTAGTCTCAGGAGATTTGGAGTGGGATTTGGTTATGTTACTATTGTGCTGCTCCCTGTTCTCCTTGCTGGAGAGAAAGCTGTACCAGAGGACCTGCAGAACGAGGCTCTTCCCCCTTTTTTGCTTCATCCATTCTGTGGAACTGTGCTCTTCTGCCTATCCTACAAATTCCTGAATACAACCACACCAGTCATCAGGGGGCAGGTTTGACATGAAAAAACAAAGTCCTGCTCCTCTAACATGATTATTGCCTCTACACAGATACACAGAAACAAGCCATTGGAAAAGGTGGCCATACACCTGCCGATTATCGTACGATAGTCGCGGGTGATCCCTCGATCGTACGATAATAATTGGCAGGTGTATGGAAGGTGTGCGACCGTTTCTACTGTACGGTCGCATGTCTTTTGTCTTACGAGCATGTTGGAACACCAGCCGAAAATTTACGGTTTTCGGCGGGTTTGTGGCGTGCTCGTAAGACAAAATGCCGAACGGGCCGGTGTGCGCAAGCGCACACTCCCCGCTCAGCACTGCAGTCATCGAAAGCCCTCACCTCAGCGGGGCGATTTTTTAATTACAACCCTCGCAAGACGAAAGTCATCCGATGGTTGTAAAGTGTATGGCCAGCTTTAGTCAGTAATAGGAGAAGATTAGCTGAAGTGAAACCACAGGCAACACTGGTGACTACTCCTGTGCCCTGTCCATGCCTTTTGGAGCACAGCTTCCACAGTACAGGACCTCCTAAAACCTGTTTCACTGCTGTGTGTGACTACACTAAGCATTGCTTTACTGAAAAGAGATTGTCAGATTACCATACGGTTCCTCCACGTGTTATTTCTGGCATGGAGATGGGTGAAGTTGAATAAAAAATAAGTTTGCCTAAGACTAACTTTGCATAAAAGCCTTAAGAAAAATACAAAGCACAACAAACCTTATGAAATGGAGGAGGCAGGAAAGCATTAAATTGTCTCTGCAGCTCATCCAGAATAGAGCACGACATATCCATCACCATCTAGACAAATCAGAAGACTGAGGTCAGTATCAGGGACACTGCAGGGACCACACAGCTTCACAATGCAGGGGGCAATACATTCAAGTGCCCTAACTAGTAACAAAAATGTATCTTATTTGTGTATAACTCAGCTGTAGATCCTAAATTAATCCCTGAATTGGTGCTGACACTGTCCTTCCTTCTGGAGGGGGCTACCCCTCATAACCCGGCTGCTCTCCCCCCGCCTGTGTTGGCAGAGGCAGGGGGGAACGGAGGGGACACAGAGCCGATCCAGCTGCTGGTGCCCAGTGGAGAAACCTGTCAGGAGGCCGAGCGGGGCAGTGGGGGGAGGAGAGACCTGGCAGGAGGCCGAGCGGGGCAGTGGGGGGAGGAGAGACCTGGCAGGAGGCCGAGCGGGGCAGTGGGGGGAGGAGAGACCTGGCAGGAGGCCGAGCGGGGCAGTGGGGGGAGGAGAGACCTGGCAGGAGGCCGAGCGGGGCAGTGGGGGGAGGAGAGACCTGGCAGGAGGCCGAGCGGGGCAGTGGGGGGAGGAGAGACCTGGCAGGAGGCCGAGCGGGGCAGTGGGGGGAGGAGAGACCTGGCAGGAGGCCGAGCGGGGCAGTGGGGGGAGGAGAGACCTGGCAGGAGGCCGAGCGGGGCAGTGGGGGGAGGAGAGACCTGGCAGGAGGCCGAGCGGGGCAGTGGGGGGAGGAGAGACCTGGCAGGAGGCCGAGCGGGGCAGTGGGGGGAGGAGAGACCTGGCAGGAGGCCGAGCGGGGCAGTGGGGGGAGGAGAGACCTGGCAGGAGGCCGAGCGGGGCAGTGGGGGGAGGAGAGACCTGGCAGGAGGCCGAGCGGGGCAGTGGGGGGAGGAGAGACCTGGCAGGAGGCCGAGCGGGGCAGTGGGGGGAGGAGAGACCTGGCAGGAGGCCGAGCGGGGCAGTGGGGGGAGGAGAGACCTGGCAGGAGGCCGAGCGGGGCAGTGGGGGGAGGAGAGACCTGGCAGGAGGCCGAGCGGGGCAGTGGGGGGAGGAGAGACCTGGCAGGAGGCCGAGCGGGGCAGTGGGGGGAGGAGAGACCTGGCAGGAGGCCGAGCGGGGCAGTGGGGGGAGGAGAGACCTGGCAGGAGGCCGAGCGGGGCAGTGGGGGGAGGAGAGACCTGGCAGGAGGCCGAGCGGGGCAGTGGGGGGAGGAGAGACCTGGCAGGAGGCCGAGCGGGGCAGTGGGGGGAGGAGAGACCTGGCAGGAGGCCGAGCGGGGCAGTGGGGGGAGGAGAGACCTGGCAGGAGGCCGAGCGGGGCAGTGGGGGGAGGAGAGACCTGGCAGGAGGCCGAGCGGGGCAGTGGGGGGAGGAGAGACCTGGCAGGAGGCCGAGCGGGGCAGTGGGGGGAGGAGAGACCTGGCAGGAGGCCGAGCGGGGCAGTGGGGGGAGGAGAGACCTGGCAGGAGGCCGAGCGGGGCAGTGGGGGGAGGAGAGACCTGGCAGGAGGCCGAGCGGGGCAGTGCACTCAGCTCCACTGACAGGCGGGAGGGGGAAAAGCAGTCATGATGCAGAGCGGAGCACAAACACTGAGAGATCAGTACTGATCGGTCAGTGTTTGTAAAGAACTGAGGTTACATAGTAATTACTCTGTCCCTAGTTACGACTGATCAGAAAGTGCTATATATCACTTCATGTTCATTTATAAAAGTAAATATTAACTATCTGCCCATTTTATAAATGAACAGGTAGCAGCTCAGTACAGAGGCTTCCTGTCCATTCATGACTGGGTTGATAGTAAATATTTACTATCTCTTTTTCTATGCTAAAAGGGAAATATGAGGGGTCTGATTAGACCCCTGTTCTTTCCCCAAAGCCCCTAACAGTAAAGTAAAAAAAAAAAAAAAACATTTTTAAATTGGAAAAAATAAGTCATTTTCGGTTTTGGCCTCAATTTAGGTTTCTAAAAATGTAAATTCCGTGCATCCCTAGCAAATATAAAATGGAACCATACCAGCTGATAGGATTTATCAGGCTCAGGAATCGTCCTAGGAATTAGCTGCCCATCCTCTGACACAGAGTCACAGGTACTCCAGATGCGGACCAGTGTACTCCAGCACTTGGGCTAAATGAAACAGGACAAAGTGACAATTAAAGAAGTATTACATTTCAAAGTATTGTTTTATTAATACAAATGAGACAAAAGCTACCACTTTGTAATGTACAGAATATGGCTTTAAAACAATGCTGTGACACGGTGCCTTCTTCATATGTGGAGTTCTGCAGCCTTTGATACGTCCAACTCAAAGCAACATTAATATATATTTTTCCCTTTTAGTAGACTTCCTTTTCATAGGAATGACGTGAGGGTGAAGTGGCAGCGAGCCATCCATCAGACCAAAAAGAGAGGGTCATGGCAGAGTAGAGACAGGTACGCATAAGACTTGGAAGGGCTGCTGGAGGAAGGCATCTGAGGGCCCTAATGAGGGTAACTCTAGTGAAAGTCATCCTTTAAGCATAAGACACATTAACAGATTACTAACCTCACGTAGCAATGCAGTATTACAGTGGAGGATTCGAATAGCTGTTCGTAGTAAAGCTCCTGTCTTTAGTGGAGGACCTGTGCAAGTACAAAGTGCTTGGTGTAAGTCACAGGGCAATGGGGATTGTAGACTCCCAAATGTTGCTTGCTGTATTTGGCTTTGCTTCACACTTGGGTAAATGCAGCATGTACTGTTCTGCTGCATCCAAAAAAACTCTCAATGGAAATGCAAAACAGGAGCAACTCAAATGCATACATATCTCTAATCAAAGTGAATTCTGAACTGCTTGCGAGTCTGAATCCTATATACACTAACCCTCAGCAGTTTAAAAAGGTTGACAGTCTTTGAAAATTGAAACTGGGTCAGCTTGTAAAAATGTGTTTTTGGTAGCTCCCACCTTCTATAGTAGAAAAAACTTTGGAGTTTTTCGCCATAACGCTGGTTGGTGTACACAGCATATTAGTACATTATGGCCGACTTACCTTGTCATCTGTCCCCTCCAGCAATGGGCTGTCCCCGCTCCCCTCCAATGCCAGTGGTTCCATCTTCACCCAGTCATCGTCTTGGTTCAGCGTCTGCGGTCTATTGATTGGCTGGGCCGAGATGATGTAACTGCCACGCATGCACACAGAAGTTACATAATTTCGGCACAGGACATTGCCGAGCATGAGCTGCGCATGCAGTTTGTTGACTTCCTGTGGCCCATAATGGTGGATAAGGATTGCTTTATTTCTACTCTACAGCCCCACTACAGAAGGCGGGAGCTACTAAAACGGCATTTTCACAAGCTGACTAGAGTTCAGCTTTAAGGATTTTTACGTAGACAGGTGATTTCCTATGTTTGAAACGCACGTCAAATGCAGGTCGGGAGATACCCATATACTTCAATGGTGAAGTGTACAATAGATGGCAGTACTGATGTTTCTTTTCCTTTCCTTGGATGCATGAGGTGCTATTGAGGTGCACTCCAGGCAAAGCAGGTCAAATAAAGTCTTTTGCTGTGCTTTGAGTTACAGCAGTGTTGCAATAATGCCCTCTTACATGGGCCTTAACATAAGTCAATGGTATATGGGGATACAGGTTATTTTTAATGGTTCTAGATATTTTTTCCTCTATTATTTTGTTCTGTGGTAGGATAAAACAACAAAAAAATGTTTTTTTTGATTGCGCAGAGCCCATTCCCGAGCCGCAATCCTCCACCTGTGCCCCAATCCGGCCACCAGAGACTTTGCACAGTACTGTTCTGTTAATATTCTAGCAGCTTGCAGTTGTATAGAGTTCCTCCTCTGCGAGGAAGGAAGGATACACTGGGTAGAGCTGTTGTTGCAATGGCGGTCACGTGACCAGCTGAAAAGGACGCTATTTTTGAAACGGCGCAAACTGAACCAGCGCAAACCGAGGGCAACCTGTGTAGCAAAAGTTGAATGCTATGTTGTCTCCTTTTGACACATCACAAGCAGTACCTTTACAAGGAATCCAAACTTCACCTGCCACCAGCTCATTTCCCGGCAGGCAGCTTTTGGTGTGCAGCATAGTGAGGTACAATTCAAACTGGGCCGGCGTCAGGCGTTTGGCCAAAGGACACAGCATTCCCTTAGTCTGCAGCAGGAAGATCGCCGCCCCAGGAAAATCGCCAAACTTGCACGAATAGAAGGCAATCTTCTGCTTCAGGTAGTCCAACCTACATGGCAAATTGGAAGAATAGTAAAACAAAAACAACACTTTACCGCACTTTCTCACGATTCTAGAAGCCATATGTCAAGGCAAAATAAACAAAATCATATGCAGTACATTTCTTTAATACATGCTCATTTCCTTATAGTGACTCTAAACTCCGTAGTTATATCTTACAAAATACATTTAAGTACCTGAACTATTACCAAAAATCTATCTTATGTGTTTATCACTCGGCTGTAGATCCTCCAATCATCTCTGAATTGGTGCTGACACTGTCCTTCCTTCTGGAGGGAGGCTACTTTTGTTCCCCATGGTCCCTGTGTGTGGTGTAGAGTAGTCACCGCTACAAGCTCGCTCCTGTGATGGACTACAATCTCATGTTTGGTTTACTAATTTGTACTGAGATTCTAGTCCATCACAGGAGCGAGCTTGGTGACTACTCTACACCACACACAGGGACCATGGGGAACAAAAGTAGCCTCCCTCCAGAAGGAAGGACAGTGTCAGCACCAATTCAGAGATGATTGGAGGATCTACAGCCGAGTGATACACAAATAAGATAAATTTTTGGTAATAGTTCAGGTACTTAAATGTATTAAGATTTAAATCCTGAGTTTAGCGTCACTTTAAACCAGCGGTTCTCAATCTGTATAACCTCAGGACCCACATTTGTCCTTGGTCATTAAGACACGACCCAAGTCGCACCTCACTGTGGGCGGGAGGTGCATTTGGCAACGCAACGCACCTCCAGCACCAGCTCCCCCGTGGGTGCATCTCCAGCCCACCCCACCTCAAGCTGACACTGACAAGCACTATATTTTGAATAGCTGCTTGGCACGAGAAGTGACAACGCTGCGCTATGGGGGAGTGCAGTGCAAGGCATGCTGCGACCCACTGAACATGGGGTCGCGACCCACTTTTGGACCCACCAGTTGAGAACCATGGCTTTAAACCCTTTTACTGCCAGTGCAAGTTTTTTCATCACATTTTAGGCCTAAAGAGGACTTAAAAACACCCAAAACATTTTTTTCTAAGAGCAGAGACCATGTAAAATAAAATGGTGGAGGTTCACTTTTTTTTTTGTCACACGATATTAGCGCAATTGTTTATTAAACTCAAATTTTCAGTACAAAGGCATTAATTTTTGTGCAAACAAAATATAATACCCAATTTTTGGTAAAATATAAAAGATGAGGTTGCGTTGCTTAAATAGATACTAAATAAGCAAATCCTTCAAATTACACACGCTTGTGAAATAGGGAAAAAAAAAAAACTAAGACACCCACATCTGTCCATAAGCGACGCTTTAATTTACAGTTAACCAGAAATGATGTCCCTAGAATTATTGCCTTCACTCCAGTGCGTGCGGTGCAATCGTCGTTTTCAACACAAGCACACCCAGCACACGCATTTGTATGTGTATGTGCATATATCAGGGCTTTTAGAATTTTGGGGGGTAATTGTTTTATTAAACTTTAATCTTTAAAACCTTTCATTTATTTTTTGTAAGAATCTGCTCAATCATCTTCTTGACAGCTCTGAATCCAGAAATGTTGAGAGCTGCTCACCTCCAAGTTCATTATTCACACGAGAGATCAAGAAACGGATGTTTCTGAGCATGTGGAAGTGATGAAGTAGCTTTCTAACTGCTGGGAATCGCTTCCGCTAGAAAACTGGCAATGAAAAATGCCAACAGTTTGTATACATGCTGGAGCCTAGCCTAGGGTGTCGGCCTGGCCCATGAGCCGGAGCCTAGCCTAGGGTGTCGGCCTGGCCCATGGGCCGGAGCCTAGCCTAGGGTGTGTGTCTGGCTACTCAGCAAAAGTTTCGTCTACAGTGTCCAACATGCCTCTGATTTACAACCATCTTCCCCCTCGCCATCCTCATCCCTTCCTTGCTGTTACAATGTTGCCCAAAGCGATGAAGAAAAAAGAGGGAGGATAGATTGGACAGGAATTAAGATGACAGATCCTCCATAATAAAAATGAAAGCAGAAACAGAACTTACCCAGTGGGGTCCGGACACTTCACTGCTCTCAGGTAACGTACTAATTGCCGGTAACTGCAAGATATAGAGAAGATATCATTATAATTCATATTCTAGGGCTCAGGCTGCACGCTGGGTTTTCACTCAATACTGATAAAGGAATATCTGAAGTTCCCAGAGTAAAAAAATAAATACATTGATTTATAGTTTTCTAGTGACAAACACTTCATGACCCCACTACAATAATCTGGGCATATGAAGGATATGAAGGTAGGACATTTAAGGATTAAACCGAAATCCTGACATTCCGATTTTCGCTTAAAATTCAGTTTTGAATACGGCACAAGACAGAGTGCTCACCATAGGTCACCCTCCAGCCTCTGCACCCTGGACTGCACCACTGGCAGCGCTTCACACAAGTTTTCCCGCTTGCCTTTGAGTGTCCTTGTTCCTGCCAGATTCTGACCAGCCAACACAGATGTGAGAAAACAATTGTCCCATCGTATAACATTCATGCTAATAGGGGGGAAAAAACGCAAAATGTCAGTGCATAGTGATCAGTTAACTCATTTCATCTCTGTCCATAGAGAGGTACTTTTCCATTTTAACAGATCACAAAGCTACCTCACTAAAAGAAAGAATGTAACTTTGCTCATTCAGGGCAAAGCGACAGTGTCTGCACACATCCCACACCCTACATGTGTATACACACCCAGCCATGCTCCCTTGCTGCCTCCCAGCACTGCCACAGCCCTCGCTAATAAAGCAGGGTTTCCAGGTATAGGAAGCACATGAACTCTCTTATGTGACAGTGCTTCAATCTGAACAGCCAATAATTAGGTCCAAATGTTGTCAGTTGGGCACTGCCATAGTACACACTTGCGGTACACTGCAGAAATACAATTCTTCCCTGCTATCTTGAATAGGTTAAATCTTAACCTATTCAGGTTAGCTGGGGAGAATTGTACCTATTTCTGCAGTGTAGCGCAAGTTTGCACAGTATACTACGGATTATTTGATTTAACCTATTCAAGTTAGCAGGAGAGAATTAGAACTCTTTAAAATGATCAGGTTGCAGAAATAGAGTAACAATTCTCCCCTGCTTCTTCCAATCTGTCCCACTACCCCCCAATGAAACTTGAAGTTCTACAAAGTATTGCTGATGTGAAGCAATGACTGAGATATTAGATTGGATGTGGGAAATATTATGAACATGCTCCGCAAGAAACTGCCCTAAAATCATCAATCTGTATCGTTATAGAAAAAATGTCACATGTCCCTTAAAAGGAGAACTATGGGGTCAGTGTTTTTCCCCATAGTTCTCCTTAGGGTAACGGGAGGACACAAACTAGAGTCCTCCCGTTACCCTAAGCTCAGTATACCGCGAGCTACAGCTCGCGGTATACTGAGACGCCGGAGCGGATCCCGACGTAGATGACGGGATCCGCCCAGCTGCGTGAGTGACAGCTGGCTCTGCCTATCTAGAGGCAGAGCCAGCTGTACCCGCCCCCTCCCCCGTCCGTTCCGCCAGGCAGCGCTGGCAGATCGGAGCGGGGAGAGGGGAATCCAGCCCCTCCCCCTGTCACGGCAGAGAGCCGTGACAGGATCGAGAGGTGAGGGAGCGCCGGTATGTGTTCGCTCACCTCCCGATCTACTGAGCCGACCTGTGACAGTCTCATTGTCACAGGACGGCAAGAACTATGAGGTGAGTGGAAATCCCTCATCTCATAGTTCTCCTTTAAAGAAAAGTATCGGTAATTGGTATCAGCAGCACTTGGTCTTGAAAAAGTGGTATCGGGACATCCCTAACTATAATGTATCATGAGCTGTAAATGAGAAAATGTCAGGGAATCCCTGAAATCTTAAAAATATGTTTAAAGGGTTCCTCGGGGGTTAAAAACGTTGAAAACCGGTGCTCTTAAATATAACGAAGCGAGTGCCCTTTTCTAGATAATCAGCTGCCTTCAGACCCACTTACCTGTTTACAAAATTGTAGCAGTGGGGAGGAAGTGGGATGGACTGAAAAAACATAATGAACTTCTCATAGAGGTTCCTCGGATAATCTGCTAAAACCAGGTGCCTTTGTAACGTGGAGACAATCCTGAGAGAAGACAAAAACACTAAAATATACAAAATTCTTCCATTATATTACGCTCGAACCCGAAGTCCAGCTGCTATCGCCATCTAAAACCTTTACATACATTTATGTAGATTTTTATTTTTTTTATTCACCGTGAAGCAAGTATTTCACTAAACTCCAAAATAGGCCAATTAGCCCCGAGCACACCCAAAGGCCGTACACATTTATAAACTAGAGTAAATCAAATTCTTATATTAAAGTAGTACCAAAGGCTGTGTATTTTTTCACTTTCTCTGCATTAAGGCAATTAAGGCAAAAAACACCCCCCCACTTACCTGTAGCCGCTTGTCTCCTCTGCCGTAACTGGGAAGATACTTGAGGTTCCCCAAACTTCCTAGTTGTGGGAGAGGGTAGAAAAAGCAAAGGCTAGGTGCACGCACGCACGTCACTGCATGACGAGGGAGCATGAAGCCGGCGCTGCGTCATTACACAGCGCCTGGTTTCCTGATTGGCCAGAAAGCAGACTCCATGCTTTCTCGTCACCTAGTGACGAGAAGCATGGGGATGGCTTCCCTGCTAATTGGGAAGCAGAATGGCGAGTCTTTACACGCTGCCCGGCTTATCAGGAAGCCAGGTGCGAGTCATTACACGCCACCTGGCTTACTGAATGGGACTTCCGGTACTCGGTATCGGCCGGAAAAAAAAAATATCGGTACTCGATACCGAAATACCAGTTAATACCGGTTAAGCAAGCTGAAGTACCCTAACTTTCTATTTGCTTGGGCAGCACCGAAGTCTCAACTCCAGAAACCTACAGAAGCCATCATGAGAGGGTCTCACATTACAAGGAAAGCATCAGGAGGAATGATAATCCTTCTGCAAAAAGACAAACAAGACTCCATGCTGTGGGGGAGGTGAGGCAGACTGATCTTTCATCAGCCACAACCCTGTCAGACATAAATCATAAAAAAGAAGCAGTTCCATCAGACATACCTTGACATTAAGCTGGCAGTAGCTTCTTTCACGTTGCTATTTGTATCAGGCAATGGAAACGGTCAACCCTGTCAGACATAAATCATAAAAAAGAAGCAGTTCCATCAGACATACCTTGACATTAAGCTGGCAGTAGCTTCTTTCACGTTGCTATTTGTATCAGGCAATGGAAACGGGCTGTTTTTTGGGGGGGGGGGAAGAAAAATGGATACACAATGAGAAGAGTCACATTAGACATTAAGGTGTTTGCAGAACTATTTGCTTCATATACAGAATGGACACCTTGCACTATTAGCACAATACATGGCTCATTGATAAAGCAGTGGTATTGTCAGGCCGAAACCAAAAATCATTTTTTCTCTAACCTTTTTACAAAACATTTAAAATATTTTATTTTTCATAAATTTTTTAATATTTTATTTATTTTTATTAAATATTTGTATTTTTTAACTTTACTGTGGGGCCTTCGGTGAAATATCAGATGTCTAAACAGACCCCTGATATTTCCCTTTTAAAATAGGAAAACAGATTGAGGACACAGAGTTCTCAATCTTTTATTCTGCAGCCCCTGTTATAAATGGACAGGAATCCTCTATGCTGAGTGTTCCTGCTCATTCATAACTTGAGGACAGAGTATGTTTACTATAACCACAATCATGAATGAACAGGAAGTGATGTAGAGCACTTCCTATTCATTCATAACTGGTACATAGTAACTCATACTATGTCCAATCATTTACAAACAGTCAGCGATCACTGACTGCTTGTACCGCTCTTCATCCTGACTTGCTGTCACAGCTGAGCCGGCGGTGTGGGGAGAGCTCAGTCTATTTTGACAGCTAACCACTCTTGTGACAGCGCACGGTTGACACCACCCCCACAATGCTCTCCATTCTGATTGGTCAGAGGAGGCTGAGGGGGGGCGGTGCGGAGGGAGAGCCCGGCCCTCCTGATATGCCGGGTGTTCACAGTGCTCTCCCCCCCGCACCGCTCGGCCTCCTCTGACAGTTTCTCTCCTCCCCGCTGGGTGCTGCGTCTGAGGGAACACAGAGCAGCGCCCAGCGGGGGGAGAGAAACTAGGGATGTACCGCACTTTCGTCATTTTGCCAAAAGTGCCATTTTCGAACTACAGCGGCAGACATTTCGGTGCATCCCTGGTTGCCATACTGATACGGTTTAAATTTTGTTTAAAATTCCGTTTATAAAAAAACGCAGAAGTGTTTTACAAATATGCCCTTAAACTTTCTTTTCTTCGGGACCCGAAAGGTCATATGACCAATCTCACCTACGATCAGCTAGGGTGCTCTACAGCGTTATGAAGACAACACTCCAAAGAATACTGTGACCTGCATTATATGAATGACCCACAAAACACAGGTGCAAACACGGTCCATCGAGCAAAGTTAGGAATGGCATAGCCCAGGTCAGCATTTGTGGGTGGGGCAGGGGCTTTCACAATATCTTGTCACTTTGCCCTGAATATAATTATTTTCTTAGATTTCTACCATGACTTTCTAACTGTCCCTTTATGCATGTGCTCTTGTGCCTATACATGAGGTGCCCAGCCAATGAATGACAACTACAGAGTTCGCCCACGGCATAGAGCAACATGCAAAGATCCACAAAAAGCAAAACACACTTACTTCGTCAGAATCCTCTCCAGGAGAATCTCTCTGGCAGCACCGAGCAACATCACTGCAGCAGTCTTTGGGTGTTGATTTTCAGCTCTGTTCAAGTATTCAGTCACCAGCTGGTATACTGGCATGTAACTGTTTTGCAAGCAAAAAATACATATCACTTAGAAATCAAAAACATTTAAGCCTATGTTTTTTTAACCACTTGCTGACCAGGTGTGTAGACCCCCTTCCTGGCCCGGCCATTTTTCAGTATTCAGCGCTGCGGTACTTTGATTGACATTTATTCCGTCATGCAACGCTGTACTGAAATGAATTTTATACCATTTTTTGGGGACAGATAGAGCTTTCTTTTGGTGGTATTTAATCACCACTACGGGTTTTCTTTTTTACTATATTAAGGAAAGATTATTAAACATTTTGAAAAAAAAACGTTTTTCCATTACATATTAGGAAACAATGATTATTGCTCTCGTTCTGACGTTCGCGACGATATGTAACATGTGTGGCGTAATGGGCGCAATCGTCGTTTACATGTTTGCATGCGTGTACGTACGGGGGGAGGGGGGGCGTCTTTTTTTTTACATTATTTTTTATGTATAACTTTACATTTTCTTGGGGGGAAACTAATTTTTTTTCCCACTTAACTTTATTGCTATCACATAGGGGCTAAGAAAATCCCCCTATGTGATAGCAAAAGATGTGACCGGTCCTCTTTATGGAGACATCAGGGGTCTCCAAGACCCCTAATGTCACCTAAGACCCCCCTGAAGAAGCAGAGATCTGCTTCATCAGCTTCTCTCCAGCATCTGAAGCTGGAGAGTGACACAAGAATGCGGAAGTGATGTAATATACATCATTTCCGCATTCTTACAGCGGAGAGGGGACCGGAGGGAGCTCGTGTACCGATCTCCCTCTGATCCCCTGTGACAGAGGCACTATGCTGGTCCCGGGCTCGCACCGGGCACAGCGGAGCCTGGGACCAGCGTGACAGCGGGAAGGGGGAGCCGCGGAGGGGGGGGGGCGCACATACCGGGACCTTATACAAGTGATCCGCCGGCAATATGGCCGGCAGGTCGCTTGCATGTTAACAGGCATCGCTGCCTGTTTTTACATTTTAGGACTTTCCCGCACGCGAGGGGGCGTGGCTGAGCGGACATCTATAGACGCCCGCTCAAATCTAGAGAGCTCCCGGAGAGTTTTTTACAACGGCCGGCCGAGAAGTGGTTAAAGGTGGTTTTCATTATTTGTAAATCAAGCTGCCCGATACTAAGTGTATTACCTTAGGGATGCCACAAGGTGGAGCCAGTGCAATATTTTTAAATGATATGTTTAAATCATGTGCAGCTGACAGGACATACAACTCCTGTGAAGTCTAATTTCTTAAACTCTGGGAAATTTTGTCAAACTATCACAATATAAATTATTTGCGGTTTCCTTGTTGGGGCTCTTCATAGATAAGATAAAGGCCGCACAACGCAGATGACTAATGGAGGTACAAGCTTCCACTTTTAGTTTTTTTAATGCAGTATATGCATCAGAGGACCGTTTTCTATTGAAAGAGTGTAGGCGAGAGGTACCGGATCCTGAAACTTTAGTTGGGAGTGCATAGTTTGTTTTGTTTTTGTAGAAGAGCGCAGTACCTCTGTCTCAGCAGGTCCTATGCCCACAAAGGGGAACCAGGTGCACACGATATTACCACCTTAGTGACCAAGGCTTTTTTTTTTTCTTCGTTGTTTGTACCCATGTTATAATCCACATTTTAGGCCTGAAAATGACTTCAAACCCCCAAACATTATATATTTTCTGAAACCCATGACGCTGCAGAATAAAATGGTGGCAGTTGCAATTTTATTATGTTGCACGAAATTAGCGCAACGTATTATCAAACCCCAAAATGTAGTGAAAATGCACTTAAATGCCCCCAAAAAACAAATTAAATAACCATTTTTAAAAATCAAAGATGAGTATACCCAACATGCCCACTTTAAAAATCGTGTGCGTCCGTGAAACTGTGACAAAATTCAGTACCCCAAAAAGTCCATAGATGACGCTTTAAAATCCCCTACAGGTCATCACCAGCCTACTGGCCCAGAGAAGCGATCAGGCGACAGCTGAGTCGCCAGATTGCTTCTATTGTATTATTATACAGGATGTATATAGCGCCAACAGTTTGCGCAGCTTTACAACATAAGGAAGACATTACAATCACTAGGGACTCGGTTTTAAAATCTCCATTTTGGTGCACCTCTAACAATCACAATACAATTCAAGACAAGATGGTAAGGAGGGCCCTGCCCCCGAGTCGGCTTTACAATTGTAAACAGAATCCCCGCAGGAGTCTGCTTAAACGGGCCCGCTGCCAGTGATGCACTGTGGATGTCACTGGTCACTAAGGGGTTAAGAAGCACCAAACATTTGTCTTCCTCAAGTAAATTGAAAAAGCAACACATTTCAGGGATATCAAGGGGCCCGCCTTCTTCAGGGCTGAATGTTCAGGCTAAATGTCTTTAAAACCATTATGGTCCAATTCCATACAAATTGTTCAATTATGTTAAATAAAACTTCGGCCAGAAGTTGGCCCTAAAACAAAATCAATCCTGCCCCCAATTGGGTGACAAAAGAAATAGGTCATATCTGTGCCGCCCCAATAGGGGCATAGAATATGAGATGCATAGCCTCAGTTAATATTAGCATTGTTATATAGGTTAGAATTTATATAGTGTGATTTGCCTATTTTCTCATAGCTAAATTCATGTGTTATCCTATGCTGCCATCTAGTGGCCTTTTGTTGTAATGTACATGTTTTTCTGTAATTATTCCTCATGTGACGATGTATTTCCCCCTAGTGTACGCCCCTTCCTTCTTCCTGTGTGCAGTACTTCCTGTGTCATGGCCACAGTTGAAAGCCACATGTAACAAGGACACACAGGTAATCTGCACAGTACGTAGGAAAGGCATCATTTTCTGACCGCACAATACTATAACCGTTCAACTGCTGTTCCTATCATCTGCTGTAACCTGATGTTAAAGAATAAACACCTCTTTTGAATGAATCGGTATTGACGAGTTCAGCTATCTGACGAGGATTGTCCGCAGTGAGTATATCTGCTTATACAGGCCAGGCATAGAGGTCTCAGCAAGGGATATATTTCGCTATCACAACGATCGGAGTCAGAATAATATCTCTATAACCATTAGCAACATTGTTACTAGGGATATACCGAAATGGAATTTTAAGACCAAAACCGAAAATAAAAAATATGAAAGGCCGAAACCAAAAATTACTTTTTTTCCAATCTTTTTTTTTTTAAATGTAATTATTTTATTTTCATTTATTTTTTACTTTACTGTCAGGGACTTCGGGGAAATATCAGGGGTCTAAACAGACCCCTAATATTTCCCTTATAAAACAGAAAAAGAGATTGAGAACAGAGCCCTCCATCTCTTTTTCTGCAGTCCCTGTCATAGATGAACAGGAAGCGTCTATACTGAGTGTTCCTGTTCATTCATAACTTGTGGATATAGTATGTTTACCATGTCCACAATCATGAATGAACAGGAAGTGACGTAGATCACTTCCCATTCATTCATAACTGGGAAATAGTAAGCACACTATGTCCACTTATTTACAAACACTCAACGTTCACCTTATTGGCGAGTGTATGAATACCCGTTCTCCATCCTGAATCGAATCGGCTGTCACAGAAGGGGGCAGGCAGTGGGGGGAGGAGAGCTCCGCCTCCTGTGAGATCAGAGCACTCTCCTCCAATTACCGCTCTCCATCCAGACACAAGAGGCGGAGCCGGGAGGTGTGGGAGGAGAGCTCTGTTTCCAGTGACAGATCACAGCCGTCACCGCCCTGCTCGGCATCCTGACACAGGGCGCGGAGTCGGGAGGTGTGGGAGGAGAACTCGGCCTCCTGTAACAGATCGCAGCGGTCACCGCCCCGGACCGCTCTCCATCCTGACACAGGAGGCCAGGCCGGGAGGTGTGCGCTCGGCCTCCTGCAACAATGACAGCTGTCTGCGCGCAGCGCCACTCTCCATCCTGAAAGCTTCTCTCCTCCCCGTTGGACACCGGCGCTGCATCGGAAGGCACAGACCAACACCCAGCGCTGAGAAAAGCTGGGATACACAGAATTTTCGGCAAATGGCCAAAAGTGCAATTTTTGGCTGAAATTTCGTTGCATCCCTAATAGTTACCAGACTAAGTGTGCAGGAGGAGTGTTAGAAATTAGAATAGCTGGTACCTTCCAGAATTTATACATCAGGGGCTTCTGGGGGTTTTTTTTTCTTTGATAATTTATAGAAGATTTCCAGGTACAGTGCACACAAGTAGAACATTAAGGAATACGCTGGCTATTCATCAACAGTACCATAACCAGACAATGCTGGAGAAAGCTGGTGATAACCAGCCAATGCTGGAGAAATTATATGGAAAACCAAAGCGTTTCTTATGGAAACACTTTGGTTTTTCCTAAGATTCTGTAAACAGGAAGATAGTCACAACTTTGGGGTAAATACAGAGAGAACCGTGGGCCCCTTCTGTCTCCACAGTATAGGAGAAATACTTTCCAAAGGGGGGGGGATAGGAGGTATGGAGATAGTAGGCTGTGCAGGGGAGGAGAGATGGGGAAATGGGTAACATAGGGGTGTGTGTGTGTTGCTTTTTACCGTTAATGGATTAAATTGTTCCTCTTTACTAATCATTAAAAGAGAACTATGGGGTAAGTGTTTTTCCCCATAGTTCTCTTTAGGGTCACGGGAGGACATACATTAGCATCCTCCAGTGACCCAAAGCTCAGTATATAGCGGGCTATTGCCCACGATATACTGTGAGCGACGCAGCCAGGATGGATCCCGACATTACTGTCGAGATCCACCAAGCTGGGTGAGTGACAGGGAGCTCTGCCTATCTAGAGGCATAGCCAGCTGTACCCACCCCCTCCCCTGTCCGTTCTTCCACTCAGCGCTGGTAGGATCGGAGAGGAGAGGGGGGAATTCCTGCGGGGAGCTATGACTGACAGTCACCACTCACTGTAGGGAGATGATCGGAAAGTGGGTGTATCGGTGCATGTTTCTGCTCACTTCCTGATCGATAGAGCCGACCTGCGACAGCTTCTTTGTCACAGGTCGGCTCTAACTATCAGGATGAGCGGAAATCACTTCATAGATCTCCTTTAACGCTGAGTGGCAAGGAATTTTGTACTACATCGTGCGTGTATTCATCCAGATTCTGCATTGGTTCAATGGCTCTTAATATTTTCCTCTAATCCTTGCTATAGAAGATACTCCGAATGGATGCTGACTGCACTACCTGGCAATGCAATTATCACTAGCAGGCAAATCTATGTATGGATAAACATGCCACAACAGAAAAGTTGTTTCAGAAGTCCTCATAAGAAAACTTTATGATAACCTAAAACTAGGTGAAAATATCTAAAAGAGAACACACAAGATGATGGAATATAAACAGTAACCGAGTACACTTGTTTTATTATTCTTACTTGTGCACAGGTACTGGTACATGGGCCATGGTACAGGAGTAACAACTGGACTTCCTTTTGTCACGGTGGCAGGCACAAAAGCACTTTGCTGTACTTTCCCGTGTCATGATAGCACCCTCCCTGTACTTCTGCTGCACTTGTGACAGCTCGGATAGGAAATGCTGCAGCTGGTTCCCTGAGGCAAACAAAAAGAGAAATGGTGGTTACAACTAGGAGAAAACTGGAAGAACAAGATCATTACAGCTGAACTCCAGGCAATAAATGAAATACACTTATAAAAGAGTTGTGTTACCTGCCAAGGGATTTGTACAGTAAACTCCCCCGTTTTCCGGCATCCACAGGGATTGGTAGGCTCCGGATATTCAGAGTTAGACTTACCGATAACTCTCTTTCCTATAGTCTTCCAGAACAGCTTACGAGAGATAGGCTTCGCCCCTTTTAGTAGGAAACACGTCACCCCCTACCCTGTTTCCCCGAAAATAAGACCTACCCCGAAAATAAGACCTAGTTGCGACCTTTCCCAGGGCCGGTGGTGGCATGAGGGGAAACCTGAAGCGCCGCGGGAGAGAATCAGCGGTGCCTACGAAGCCAACGCTAGAGGAAGCGAGGCGGCAGCGCAAGGAGCAGAGCCGCATAAGCCGATGCCTCCTCTATACGCCTGTGACAGGAGCCGGCGCGAGTGATAGCAAATGCAAGCCGCCTGTGAGGAATCGATAGTGAAAGCGCGCTTCGCTCATTCTGGTTACCAAAATGCCTTTGGAAAGCTACAGCACCCCTGATTGCCCTGATCACCCTATTCTTAACTTTGCCATTTTTGATTATTTAATTTGGATTTGCATTAACTTTGGATTGTTACACATTAAAAAAAAAAAATAAGACCTACCCCGAAAATAAGACCTAGTGTGTTTTTTTGAGCCAAAAAAAATATAAGACTGTGCCTTATTTTCGGGGAAACACGGTACTTGTTTTAAAAGGCCCGCCTCTCTTCTAGCTCCTCAGTTGTATCGAGAAACGTAGGAAGACCCTGTAATGACGGGAACCAAAACAACAACAGAATATCACATTGAAATCACATTTCGCCACCACTTACATAACCAAATGTAACCAAATGAATCCAGCTGTTCTGGAAGACTATAGGAAAGAGAGTTACCGGTGAGTCTAACTCTGAATTTCCCGTAAGAACAGCTTACGAGAGGATAAACAAGAACTTACCCACTTAGGGCTGGACTACGGCTTGGAGCACCTTTCTCCCAAACGTCTGCTCTGCTGCCGCATTCAAATCCAGCCGGTAATGTCTGACAAAGGTGGAAAAACTCGACCAGGTTGCGGCTTTGCAGATCTGCTCCGGAGTGGCACCAGCTCTCTCTGCCCACGAGGTGGCCGATCCCCTGGTAGAGTGCGCATTTAAAAAAGGTGGAACACTAACCTGCTTAGCCCCATAAGCCTCCTGAATACACAGCATCACCCTTCAACTTGCCTCTTTCTGATTAGCCGGACTACTGCAAAATGAAGGCAAAACGATCTCCTGAGATCTATGAAAGTCTGACGAAACCTTTGGTAAAAAAGCCGGATCCGTCTTCAAGACCACTCAGTCCTCAAAAACCGTCAAGCACAGTTCCCTTACAGACAGAGCCTGCAATTCGCTAACTCTCCTAGCTGAGGTTATAGCAACCAGGAACACCGTTTTCAACGTAATCTTAATCGCAAGATCAGACAGAGGTTCAAAAGGGGGAATCATCAGACCCTGTAGGATCAGTGACAAAAATCCCACTTCGGAATGGAACAATGTGTAATTGGCCAACGTGTATCAAGTCTGTCCGTTCTAGAAAGAACTTTTGTAGAACCCTCGGAATTAAATGAATGGGTGGGAATGCGTAGCACAGACTATAACCCCATGGATGCGATAGGGCGTCCAATGCCACTGCGTTGTCTGCTGCATTTAGGGGGAAAAAGTGGGCTAATTTTGCATTGTCCTGTGCAGCAAACTGATCCACCTGCGGTAAACCCCACTTCTGAGTCCGGAGGTCAAAGACTTCCTGATCCAAGCTCCATTCGCCCTGGAGAACTTGAAACCGACTCAGATAGTCTGCCAGAGTATTCTGCGTTCCCTTTAGGTGCACTGCCGAAAAGGGAACCCAGATTCACTTCTGCCCAAAAGAAGATTTATTTCGCTATCGACTGAAGGTAAGAACTCCTGGTTCCCCCCGGTTTGTTTAGGTAACACACAGTGGTATTGTCCGAGAGCACTAGCAGATGGTGATGCCTTATCTGATCTTGAAACGACAGGACCGCGTTCAAAACCACTCTCAGCTCCCTCCAATTGGAGGACATTCTTGCCTCCCGCTGGGACCACTGTCCCTGAGTCATCCGATCTTGCAGGTGTGCTCCCCATCCCCTGGCACTTGCATCCGTGGTCAACCTTATGGTAGTGGGAAAAGACCATTGAAGACCCCTGACAGGGAACTTCGGTTCCTCCACCACCATAAGCCCCCTCCTCACGGAAGGAGGAACAATAACCGCAGCATCCAAGGTATCCTGTGAATGGTCCCACATTCTCAACAGGAACCCCTGCAGACCCCTCTGGTGGAATCTTGCCCACTGAACAGCCGGTAGATAGGATGTCATCAGACCCAACACAGACATGATTTCCCTTAAGGATCTGGGACAATTCGTCTGTAAGTGGCTTACCGCATTTCCCACTTTCAGAATCTTTTCTTCCGGAAGGAAGGTCCTCTGCTCCACAGTATCCAGGATGTACCCTAGAAACACCGTAACTTGAGAGGGGACAAGATTGGACTTTTGTAAATTCACTACCCATCCCAGTTCCTGCAACCAAACCTGTGTAACTTCCAGGTCTCTGGTGCATTGAGCCGCTGAGCTGGCGGACAGTAGAAAGTCGTCCAAATAGGGGATGATGCAAATCCCCTGCAGCCGTAAAGTAGCTATTGCCTCCCCCAAAACTTTTGTAAAAATGCGTGGGGCCGAGGACAGCCCGAAAGGAAGTGCTCTGAACTGGTAATGTACCACTGTCTGACCTACTCTTACCACCAGGCATAAAAAATCTTGTGACGTCCTGTGAATGGGGATGTGGAGATAGGCATCCCTTAAATCTAGAGTCGCTAAAAAGGAACCCTTTTGCAACAGGTTCTGGACCGAAAAGATGGAGTCCATGCGGAACCTCTTGTACCTGATCGCTAAATTCAAGAGTTTGAGATTTAGGCTCAACCTGTACTTCCCTGACGGATTTTGCACAACAAATATGTGAGAGTACAGGCCCTGACCCTTCTCCTGATACGGAACCTGAATAAGCACTTTTTGATCCACCAACTCTCCCAACAGAAGGCAAAGAGCGTTTGCTCGAGATGCGTTCCTCAGGAGATTTGTGATCAAAAAACGATGGGGTGGGTGGCTGCAGAATTCCAACCTGTACCCCTCTTGGATTAGATTGATATAATGATTGGAAGTAATCTCCCTCCAACGAGGAAGAAACCCTGCTAGCCTTCCTCCCACCCTCACACAGAAGTCACTGCTGTTTTGGAGCTTGGGAGGGAGGGTTACTAAAAATAATCCCCTTGGGCTGTTCCCCCTTCATATTCTGACCCTTGTTTCTGGGTCCTTTAAAGAATCTACGAAAGGGCTTCTACTTTTTCTCTGGAAAAGACTTCTTCTTATCAGCTGTACGTTCTAATATGGCCTCCAATTCAGGCCCAAAAAGAAGATCGCCACTAAACGGGAGATTGCAAAGCCTCAATTTTGAGGCCGCATCCCCGGGCACTGAAGAGGACGAAGGATCCGGTGGGGAATCCCCAAATGTCAGAGGAGCGGTACCGGCGGCCTACTAAGGTACTTCTGAACCTCACAAGGGTCCCACAGAGGGAACACTGAGGTACCTTTTCCATATCCACCCACTGTCCCGGTGACATGTCTCCCCGACGGAGGAAACACAAAAAACTGAGGCGCTAGGAGAGAGGCGGGCCTTTTAAAACAACTAGGGGTGACGCGTTTCCTACTAAAAGGGGCGGAGCCTATTTCTCGTAAGCTGTTCTGGAAGACGAAGGGGAAAAATGTAGTTTCTGGTTGCTTGAGAGTTACTATTAAAAAATAGATCTAACTAATGCCATACCCCATACTATACCCTGCACTATATCCCATTACTATACTCCGCACTATACCCCGCACCACACCCCATACCACACCATAACAAACTCTGTATTGACTTCATATTAATATTGAAATGCAGTCATCAAAAGAAAATTAAGACAAATAGTCACGTGATCAGTTCCAGAACAATACAGGCCGCAGATCAGCAAAACAATGAGTACACAGGGAATTTCCTTTTTTCTGGTTAGGTGAGAGTTCTGGTTAATTGAAGACCGGATAACAGAGTTTACTGTATTAAAGTCCATTCTGTCCTGATATTTACACAGCTGTCAAACAGCACTGCCTTGTCTGGCAAGGGAAGGGACCTGATATTTCTCTGCTGCAGTTTTACATTCACTTAAATGTCTGGCCCCTCTTCACCCTATGACTAGAAGCAGCACACCGATACGTTTACCTGGCACACTTGCAACATACCTGAATGACCCCGTGTGCTGCTTCTACCACCACCACCCTCAGCTCTGCTGTACAGCAGATTACAAGAGGCCGATACCAAGTTAAATTCAGTTACTTGTGCTGATTGCATTTGAAAAAAACAAAGATCACTAACACAGAGCTGGATTTCTTTTGTCTGCCAAAGACAATATTTTTGTGGCAGTGTGCTTTCTTGGATAGTCAGAGACACAGGTCATAGAAACCAGAGTGTTAAAACAAGCTCACAGCCTATTTTAACAATCGCTTAGATAAGAGGGGAGAAATGATATGGATGTCATCCTTTTTAGATCGTTCCCCATCTTACATAGTAAAGGTATCAGAAGACATAATCACCTCCTTCCCTAAGTTCGGTATCGATCTCAGTAAGATCCAGCTGGAACATGGTGAGGACCCCAGCCAGAGCCGTGTCTCGGAGCTCCTTCCAGTACTTGCTCTTGTTGTGGGCATTGCAATGGCAGCTTGAGGTACACGTCCATGAGGAACACTGAAAGATAGCACAGAAACTTGACATTAAAATATAATGGGGGGAATTTATCAAAACTGGAGCAAATAGAATCTGGAGCAGTTGCCAACAGCAACCAGTAAAAAGCAGAAATCACCAGCACTCAGCAAATATCTTTGATGTCCATTTAATCGGACCAATCGTCAACCTCACAGGGTCCCTTCATCAGGGTGACAATGTAACAAGTCAGTATATGTCAATACAGCTACATATATACTCCTTGAAGAGAGTTTTGCAACCTCCCCGTGACATCATCACGACCGGAAAAACACCATGTTTAAAAAGGTAAACATCAATATAAAGTGTTCAGTACAAGGTAGTCACATCAAAAGATACCAACATATATTAAATATAATAGACAACAGCAACCAATCGGCATCTTACCTTTAGCAAAATGTTTCATTTTATATCTTCACTTGAAACATCTAAAAGTGTACAAAACCTTTAACTGTGCAGAGGACCCAAGGAGGCGCCACATGGTCTGACATGAGGGTAAAAATGGTACTCATGGGCACCACAAGATATATTCAGATGACAAGTCAGAATTTGAGCTGAGACAGGAAACATCCAGCAGCCTATCAAAACTGTAGCTTAAAAGTTACTACTATTTTCTCCAAATGTTCTAGGACATTGAATCAACTGCAGTGGTGGCAAGATGCCTTTTAATGAACAGGTGCATCCTCCACTGGAATGGTGGTGGCCTGATTAAGGCCAAACACTGCCAGATCCAAATTAGGGACATTGTGTCTAGATGCAGCGTTTGACCGCACCTGAAGCACAGCAGCCTATTGGCTCTCATTTGCTTGTCTGAATGAGGCCCAAGTCATACAAGACCGTAGTGAAAACGTCAGAAAGTGGGAAATTCAAAAGCACCCCGCGACAAAGTAAATGAGGTAGCTCCCCGGGCTCAGCCTGATCGGCCCCACTGGAGTGAGTCTTCAGAGACAGGGCAAGCGCTGAGGCAATGCCAATGGCACTGGACCTGGAAAGTACTCTGCGGCCATCTTTTTACCAGAATGGGGTTTGGAAAGCTCCTTCAGAAGAGCCCAGTACCTGAAGGTCACTTCCACATTAGCCCTGCAGCTTCCAGTCCAGTCTTTCACACTGCAGAGTTGAAGATCTCAATCCTTAGATGTCTATGGAAATAGAATTAGATTTGGAAAGTTTCTTACCTCTGAAGCAGGCTTGTCACACAGGTAGCAGTAACATTCAGAACAGAAGCTGGCATTCTGCTCCATGGGGACCTCGGTCTCATTCTCCACACGCCTAAAAAAACACAGACAGCCATGTCATACCTACAGCCCACTGCACACCTCTGACACAATACTGTTTCCACTGAGTGCTCCTTACATAAAAGGATGTAATGTGCAATCATATCTGGCGTGTGGCAGCACATGGCCCTTTTTACTGTAGGTGATAGCAAGTTCATCATCCAGCACTTCCAATTTCCTCTTCTCTTGTGCGAAGGACTCTTCTGAAGGATTTCAAAAATATGGGAAATGAATAAAGATTATAGAAAACAAGTGCCAGTCGCAGTTGGTCTTGCTATAAGCAGAACATGAAGTCTTAAAGAAGAAGTCACACCTTGTGTTATTTTTCACAGCGCAGTCACCTAATGCTTTTGATCCCATACTTCAGTTCCTCCAACACTAACTGGAGGGACAGACAGGAGGGGGTGGGAATAGCTGGCCCCCCTTTTAGAGAGGCAGAGCCAGCTGTCAATCAGGCAGCAGGGTATCATTCAAATGCAGTGCGCTGTCAGCATATAGCCGGCAATAGCCCGCTATATGCAGAGTTTTGGGTCCATAGCTCACTTTTAATACTTGTATTTGCACCTTTATTTAGCTTTACCTTGTTTTGGGGGTTAATTAACACAGGCACAGAAGTCCAATTAATGGGAGGCTGTGGCTGTAAGCTGAACATTCCTTCAAGCATATACTCGTGTACAGGTTTGGAATACACCCAGAGGCATACATGTTTACCAGGGTACAGCCTGTCATAGATTTGTACAGACGGGGTGTACGCAACACCTGTGGCTCCCATGTGCACAGATCTGGCCTTTTTTCTATGGTGTACAGACTTCTGTGTTTAGGAGTCCTTAAGCCCAAAGCTTGTGGTTCAGGCACAGAGGTTACCTAATGGCTGCTATCTCAATAGAGGGGACTGCTGCAAATTCGCCAATAGGCAGTATCTACATCACTAGGAAGTGTGACGTGGGCAGTGAAAGAAGCCCTCTCCTACACAACAGACCAGAAGATGTGGGACCAGGCCTGTCATGTGATCTCAATTTCAGGTAATAAAACAGAATTTCAGAATAAATACTAGCAATTAGCTAAAGTTGGACAGAGTGGGAGTTCGGTTTTTTTTGGCCAGGGATCAGCTATAAATTTGCTTATAGCCAGTCACACTTTGCATACAAAGGCATATGAAGGACACTGGCACGGATAAATGAGCGTAAATACTTACCGGCAGCTTCTTCTATCAGCAGCACGGAGTTGCCAAGTGCCGACACTTCACCCTCATCATCGCTGATTATAATCACGCTCTCTTCTGGAAGGGATGCTTCTAAAGATGTCCCCTCCTCACAAGTTCCTTCACCCGTCCTCATTCTGATGGCTCCTAACAGGAAAAAAAAAGCTTCAATGAACACAAATCTGACTGCAAGACGCATGCACCTCAGTAATACAATTCACATGCCACATATCCGTAGGGGTGCGGGTGATCGTATTCATACGCCGCCGGAATGGATCCTGTATGCGTCCCGGCCAGAAAACCTGCACCCCTACGGACCTGCAAATGAGGTGAGCGTAGGGGGGCGTATGGCCGCGTAGCCCTATAGAGAAGGACGGGGGTTGCATTCTAATCACACGCAGCACCTGTCCTTCCCGGCAGCTACTTGGTACGGCCCCGCACGCAGCACGGAGCTGTACGTGCAGGCCGATTCGTGTGTGAATGGGGCCTAAGAAAATAAATTGGTTACATTTGTAAAGGAAATCTGTACTTTTAAAAGTGAAATATTAAAAATGTAGAATA